ATGCAAACCACTCTGAAAGAATAGAGAAATTCCAAGCGCTTTCGTGACTACTCACATTATCAAGGAACTATGAAAGTAAAGCATCCAAGGAAGCTATATAAGGGGTCTGGTCGGCACCTCACTATCAGATCCCACAACGGTTTAAACACGTGACGCGCGGCTAGCCAACTTGGAAAGGTCCTTGGCACAACTCACCCCACAAACTATTCTACCCAAGAAATAAGAAATTTTAAAGATTATTTGTCCAGTGTATTATTAAATTCTTCCCAAATTCTATTAATTATAAATGGATCTAATTTATATAAACCAAAGGAAATATTCATATTATTGTCAAAACTGCTTTTTATGAAACAAGATTCAATTATATTCCTGTCGACCATGGACTTGCTTGATACTACTTTCTCAACTTTTTGAAAATCAATTGGATGGTTAAAATCTCTTACATGAATAAATAGAGCATTGGAATCTTGTCCAGTTCTAATGCTATATTTATGTTGTTTTAATCTTAGTTCGAGATTTTTACCAGTTTGACCGTAATAAACAACATAAATATAGCATTAGAACTGGACAAGATTCCAATGCTCTATTTATTCATGTAAGAGATTTTAACCATCCAATTGATTTTCAAAAAGTTGAGAAAGTAGTATCAAGCAAGTCCATGGTCGACAGGAATATAATTGAATCTTGTTTCATAAAAAGCAGTTTTGACAATAATATGAATATTTCCTTTGGTTTATATAAATTAGATCCATTTATAATTAATAGAATTTGGGAAGAATTTAATAATACACTGGACAAATAATCTTTAAAATTTCTTATTTCTTGGGTAGAATAGTTTGTGGGGTGAGTTGTGCCAAGGACCTTTCCAAGTTGGCTCGCCGCGCGTCACGTGTTTAAACCGTTGTGGGATCTGATAGTGAGGTGCCGACCAGACCCCTTATATAGCTTCCTTGGATGCTTTACTTTCATAGTTCCTTGATAATGTGAGTAGTCACGAAAGCGCTTGGAATTTCTCTATTCTTTCAGAGTGGTTTGTTTTTGCATATATATATATATATATATATATATATATATATATTATATATATATATATATAATATATATATATATATATGTATGTATGTATGTCGTGCCGAATAGGCAGAACTTGCGATCTTGGCTTAAATAGCAACGCTCATCTTGCCATATAGGACAAGTGAAAATTTGTGTATGAAATAATTTCGCCAAAATCATTCTGAACCTAACGAAAAAAATATATTTTAACTGTGTTTGTTTAACATTAAATTATTGTAAACAAATCTAAAATATATTAGTTGGGTTAGGCTAAAATAAATGTTCTTCTTATAATAAGGTTAGGTAAGTTTTCTAAGTTCCTTTTGGAGCAAAATTAAAAATTTTTACATCAACATTAATGAAAAAATATATTCTTTAAACGTATAAGATAAAATTTTAGAAAGGACTTAATTTTAAATGAGTTCTTGCTAATTGACCAGTTTTACATATTCGGCACGACATATATATATATATATATATATATATATATATATATATATATATATATATATATATATATATATATATATATATGTCGTGCCGAATAGGTAAAACTTGCTATTTTGGCTTAAATAGCAACGCTCTTCTTGCCGAATAAGACAAACTAAAATTTGTGTATACAATAATTTCGCAAAAATCATTCTGAACTTATAGAAAAATTATATTTCACTGTGTTTGTTTATTATTAAAGTACTGCAAATTTATCTAAAATATATTTAGTTGGATTAGGCTAAATTAAATTGCGCTTGTTATAATAATGTTAGGTAAGTTTTCTAAGGTTATTTTGGTACAAAATTATTAATTTTTACATTAACATAAATGAAAATAATATATCTTTAAACGTATAAAAGAAAATTTTAAAAAGGACTTAATATTAAATGAGTTCTTGCTAATTGACCAGTTTTACCTATATATATATATATATATATATATATATATATATATATATATATGTGCATGCATGCACACCATGGTGTATGCATTTCCGGGCATTCAGCGTTTCTATGAATTTCGACTATGTGTGAGTCTCGGGCACTGGGTTCTGCGTAGCTTCGTTCTGCTTCCGTTAAAATCTGGAGTTGTAAAGGCTCTCTTTATGTGGCCAAATCATATATGTGATGGTAAGCAGTGGGATGTGTGTAGCTAGCTATGAGGTCTTGTGTGATTCTGTGTAAATATAGTGTGGTACTATGATGGTAAGAACATCGCGTTTTGTAGAGCTGTGTGATTTTTTTTTCATTTGCAAATTGTGACCAAAATATTCGGTATAACTGTGTGGTCTTTGTATATGGTGGTCAGGTGGGTTGTGTTGCGAGGCAAGCTTAGCCTAAATAAAATACTCAGAACGTTGTTTATGTGTATGTTCACACACGATAAATCATCTGTGATCAATTCTCCTGTCACTGAAAATTATATGTGCCACTGGCTGTAGCTGGGTGGTTTACGTCAGAAGTGTGCCACTTTCTGTAGCTAGATAGTTGCACTAGCAGCTCCTGTTAAGGAAAGCAGCGGGGATCACTTCTCTGAATGTAATTAAAAAACTTTTTTATGTTAACTTAAAAAAATATGTAATTTTAACATTATATGTTTCGTAGGTTTTAATATTTTTTTATTTATAATTTTTCGGGAATGACGAAAATCATTAACACATTTCTGGGTCATTTAGGTTAATCTGAAATTTTAACCTAAAATGTTGAGAGTGACAAACGAAAGACTGGACTTCCGAATGGTTCTCGACAGTACCTTGAATTGTGTCAGTTCTCTGTTATACTCTTCAAAAAGGAGGCACCCCGGAGTTGTATATTTCAATCTCCATCAGAAATCCTCTGTAGCAGATACGGGAGAGGAAAACATGTATTTATAGGGATGTATAAAATTATGTGTCTAGATATATAAAGTGCCTCATCTAAGTTTAGGGTGAGGTAGAATGTGAGGTGTTTGATCTGAGTTAAAGGTGAGCTGCTTAAATAATTTCATATAGTGATAGTAGGTAAAATGCTTGTTCCGATATTTTGGTTATGGTGAGATGCTGGAATGTGTTGTTTTGGGGCGTGTTTTGAGACACAATCTGGCTTCCACTGACCCTGAAATATATTAATATTAGAAATGGAATCAATGAGTGCTGTTTCTATAATTTTTCTTTTGTGTGATGGAGGCTTCATGCCATATAAGTATTATTTTCTTTCTTTGTTAAACTACAGCTAAATTTTCCTGTGCATAACTGACGTTTCTTTTGTATTCAGTTGTTCTTTTTCAGGTATCATCCGGTCTAACCTATCTACTTTTGTTCAGTTATTGCTTATTGCAGGGGATTTGGTAGACTGGCGTGACTAATCATACTGGACTCTTTTTTTTGTTGTTGTTGTTGTTTCAGAGGCTGGATAAAACAGGCTGGAGGTGATTAATTTTTATTTTATTTTTTTTCTGTGCATTTTGATTGAAGGGTATGTTGAGTTTGTCATTTTAGGATTTTTTTTTTTTGAGGGCCCGACTTGTAGTTGGTTTACTAGATTAAGACCTTTTTTAAATAAACTATTTAGGGTATCCTAGTCTCAAGAAATAAGTCCTGATGTTCATTTTTTGGTTGTTTTGAGTGGCGTGCAGATTGCGAGGTCTCAAAGAAAAAGGCTGCATACCGTGCTTTATACGAAGATTGCAAGTTGATTGTTTTCTCTAGCGACGAGTATATCCATTCTGCTTTGAACTGTATGGATGAGACTAGTTGATTGAGTTTCTGGAAAAAGATGTCGAATCAGGCATGTATTTGGCCTTGGTAGGAGTGTTTCGTAGAGGTTGGCAAATAATGGTGATACGGGGCTGCCCATACTGCATCCAGAATTTTGTTTGTATCCACCCTTCTTATTCCTCATTTATTATATGACCCTGAAGATTTAGCGTTTACCATTGAATATAAAAAATGATGTGATTGTATTTGTAGCTTCCATTTATTTATTTTTGCCCCCGGCTCCTTTTCTAACTGTCGTATCGAAGCGTCTGGGTATCTTTTACGTCATAATAATGTCAAGGTTTCTCATGTCCAGTGTTATAATGCTTTCTTTTGTTTTAGTATCGTATGTTAATCTTCCTATATACACTTTACCCCTAACCCTTCTCGTGAAAATGCATACAGTAAAGTTCTTTATTTATACTACGTTTCACCCACCATTAGGCTTCTTGTACTTGATGAAGCCCAGTGATGGGTGAACCGTTTTTACAAACTAAGAACTTCACTACATTTGTGCCTTCTTTACCAACGTGAGCAGCTTACCAATATCTCTCCCTACGATCCCTGCTCTCCCATTGCCCAGCGATTTCAGCAGTGTTTGTGGGGAGGGGAGGAGAGGCAACAACTAAAAGGAATCAAGTCGTAAAATTTACAATGCATTGGGACTAATTGGTCAATCAGTACTCTTTCTAATAAAAAGACACGTACAGACATGTATACTACATATTCAAAGGTTAAAGCTAATCCCTTCCCCTAAAATGAAAATAATTTCATTGACAAGTACATTGTAAAAAGGAAAATACGCTGAGTAGTCATTATTAAAAGCATCCTCTATAATTTTCTATAGGTGCCCCGGCGGCCTTAAAACTCCAACCAAACAAAAATGAGGGAGATGCGTTTCAAGGTGGTTTTTGAAACAATTGCTATATAAATAATTTTTACGAAGTTGGTGCCGTGAGGAGCTGGGCGAGGATCACCGGTTGGACTTAATTATTAAGAACAAAGAAAAAGTGACATAAGAATCAGCAGGGTAATGTTCATAGCTGAACCAAGTGATGTCATTTGGTTTGATGTGTAGTTTTGTGTTTATAGAATAGAGAAAAAACCAACATCATAAATACTCCAGACTGACGGTGTAACATTAAGTTTATGGAAAAAATAAACTATCCATTAGCACCTCACAAGGACTACATATACTAGAAGAACGCGGTGCAGTACTTACGGCACAATGAATTTGATAGGCCAGGCTAGGAAGCTGTATCTGTCTGAATCTGCATAGGCCTCGCAGATGGTCAGCTTGGCACAACTTCTTGTGTCCACCACACTGGGTAGTAATGACAACGACTCCGTGACCAAACTAGTCAGCGTTGAGTCATGAACGATGTTTTCTTCAGACCTGCCTCTACCTGTGGCCCCCTGAGAGGTGGTGTAAATGGCTACACCCAGACCGCCCAGCAGGAAGAGCGCAACGAAGGTAAGGGCGCCAAAGGACTGCAAAGTTAGTCCAGCAGCGGTGAACTCCCCAGCACCAGGCAAGGTAAACGAGAAGAGCGGAATAGTGAAGGCTACTGAGGTGTTGAAAGCCGTCGATTGGTCGTAGTTAAGGAAGAACCTGCCTTCCTGACCCTCCGGCGGCTCCTCGTAAAGATCCTTGATTGTGTCTTCCATACTGCCGGCAACCTCCGTCACCATACTCGTCACTGCCGCTGTCACCAACGCGCACCACGCCATCACGTCTGCAATACAACAAGTGGGTCAGTATACGGGTACTATATCATGCCAGCAGCATGCAATATCTGAGACATTGCATGAATCATTACACGAGCATTTAAACAAGAAAGCGTATACTTTTTTAGATTGTGTGCCTCAGTGTGTGTTTAAGCAACGTCTCTCGGCTACCATCCATATTAGATCTCCTGTTTCGTAGCTGCTTAACATTTAAAACTTTTTACTCTGCATTGATCCTTCCAGGGAGATGACTAGTAAGTTTATTCAGGCAGACACACATAGTTACATAGATTATCATACATAACAGCGTATGTGTAGAAAACCTAGGATAACCCAAAAAAGTCAGTGACTTGTTTCCATTGGAGTCCTTTTAATACTTTATTGTTATACTGTAAAGGAGATAATATTATACTATAAAGGAGATATACTAGGAATAAGGTAAAATGAGTTATTTATATTTACGTGTGTTAGGTAAAAAAAAATAATCATTCTCCTGCTTTTCTGTCGCTACATTCATTAGGCACATTTTTGGCTCTCTTTTTGAACTAGTTCATGCTATGACTGTCTTTGACATGTGTAGGCTATCTGTTTCATTTCTTTATTGCTGTACAACAAAAGATGTTTGAAGCCTGTTCACTGACTGTGTATACCTGGAGAGGGTTTCGGAGGTCAACGCCCCCGCGGCCCGGTTTGTGACAAGGCCTCATGGTGGATCAGGGCCTTATCATACAGGCTGGTACTGTTAGCCACAGCCCGGCTGGTCAGGTACTAAGTGCCTGTCCAGCGCCTTCTTGAAGACAGCCAGGGGTCTAATGGTAATCCCCCTTACGTATGCTGGAAAGCAGTTGAACAGTCTTGGCTCCAGACACTTATTGTGTTGTCTCTTATCGTGCTAGTGACACCCCTGCTTTTCACTGCGGGGATGTTGCATCGTTTGCCGAGTCTTTTGCTTTCATAGGGAGTGATTTTCGTGTGCAAGCTCGGGACTAATTCCTCTAGGATTTTCCAAGCGTATATAATCATGTATCTCTCCCGTCTGCATTCTAGGGAGTACAGGTTGAGGAACTTCAAGCGTTCCCAGTAATTTAGGTGTTTTATCGCAGTTATGTGTGTCGTGAAAGTTCTCGGTACGTTTTCTAGGTCACCAATTTCACCTGCCCTGAAAGGTGCTGTTATTGTGCAGCAATATTCCATCCTAGATAAAACAAGCGACCTGAAAAGTGTTATGGGCTTGGCATCCCTAGTTTTGAAGGTTCTTATTATCCATCCTGTCATTTTTTTTAGCAGACCCAGGTCTTTTACATTAGTTTTTCGCTCTATTGTGTGGTTGGAATTTGTTTTATAATCCGATATAGTTTTAATTTCCTCACGTTTCCCATATCGGAGTAATTGAAATTTCCCATCATTTTACTTCATATTGTTTTCTGCGTCCCATTTAAAGATTTGGTTGATGTCCGCATGGAGTCATGAGGTGTCTTCAATGGAGAACACTGACATGCAAATTTGGGTGTCATCTGCGAAGAAAGACACTGAACTGTGGCTTACATCCCTGTCTATGTCAGATAATAGTAATAATAATTACTACAAGTACAAAGTATACAGACCTAAGTGACATCAGTGTACTACTATATAGAAAGCCGCATGTTATGCTGAGCATTTCGAGCAGATTAGGTCAGTTTTTGTCCCAGAATGCGACCCACACCAGTCGACTAACACCCGGGTACCCATTTTACACTGATGGGTGAACAGGGACAGCAGGTGTCTTATGGAAACACGTCCCTAATGTTTTCCAGCCGTACCGGAGGAGATTCGGTCTCTGGACCTCAATGTGTGAGCTGAATGCGCTAGCGATCGAGCTACGGGACACTACGGTACTAAAAAGATGTGCTCTCTTTCCCTAGTACTATGATTGCTTTGGTTCTCAGCCTTGACAAAATTGGCAGCAATTCTGGACACTGTGAGCAGTTTTATAAAATTGATTTAGCTTCAGTGTTTCATTGTCTTCAACATGCAGCATATCCAATTGTTGTAATTCATACTGGCCTACATGCTCTCTTGGACCTAGGTCTTACCATTTTGTTCTGGGTGATTTGCAGTCTATCTTTCAATTTTTTTTTGTCAAGGCAGAGTACCATGACGAGCAAGCGTAGTCAATATGACAATTGTATAAGGGCTAGATAAAGGGTCCTGCGAGCCTCAGTAGGTAGACACTATGCTTGTCTGTGGAGGAACTTTAGTCTGAACTTATACTCCCTTGGATTGAACCATACGTAATAGTAATTACCAGGACTGTGGAGTTGGCACATAAAACCTTCGACTCCAAATCCAGTATCACAAGAATTGCTTCCGACTCCGATTCCACAGCCCTGGTAATTACACCGAATTGAAACAGGCTCTAATCAACCTATTCCTTAGAAAGGTGACGCCTCTAATCGTTTCAACTAAGAACCTAGTGTACTCACAGTTTTCAAGACGTGTTTTCTGTTATGATTTTTTTAACCTCGATGGCAGTCTTCCGCCAAGGCAGCGTGACCTAGAGAAGAAAACACATTCACCATCATTCATTCAATCTTCATTCAACTCCTACAGAGTGCAAACATTGATTCTGATCATCGTGCTAGGTCAACCTCTCTCCCAAATTACTGTGACTCGTTCGTCGTCGACCTAGAGGTTACCAAAGATTCTGAAGGTGTGACACAAACTACCAGCCTTCGACTGTCCATCTTGTCTCTGCACAAAAAGAGTTTCCGCTATAATAGATTCATTTGCGCTTTTGCATCTGAATCATTTCTACCTCAATCATCTGTGATGTTCTACAGTTGTGACTGTCACGAAGGATGTTGAGTCCATTTCACCTTCCACTGACGGAGGACGGGGCCTTCACCACTCCTTCCACTGACGGAGGACGGGGCCTCCACCACTCCTTCCACTGACGGAGGACGGGGCCTTCACCACTCCTTCCACTGACGGAGGACGGGGCCTCCACCACTCCTTCCACTGACGGAGGACGGGGCCTTCACCACTCCTTCCACTGACGGAGGACGGGGCCTCCACCACTCCTTCCACTGACGGAGGACGGGGCCTTCACCACTCCTTCCACTGACGGAGGACGGGGCCTCCACCACTCCTTCCACTGACGGAGGACGGGGCCTTCACCACTCCAGTCGATCGGATGAAGCATTCACAAATGATGGCAGAAAAACCATATTTAAAATTTCCCAATAATATTGGCACCTGTGCATCCCAATATCAGTCCAAGTATTTATCTTAAAATATACTAGCGTTTATGGTTTGAAGCCTATCAGAAAAGTCATTCTTCAGTAATTGTACATAAACCTATTTGTACACAAAAGATTCTCATATATGTGGCTGTGGCATGCAAGGAGTATATTACAATTTATTCGGCGTATGTCACACTCCCATATAGGCTGCTTCCCAACCAGCGAACCGGGTGCTAAGGGTTTAACAATAAGTAGGGTACCCGTCGTTAAATTAGTACCTTGGTTCATTGACCAATCACAAGCAAACCCGCCAAAGCTGAAGCAACGTGGTTCACTTCCTGGAAGCATTTTTTTTATATTTTATTTAAAATTTCTTATACAAATATACATAGGTAGGTACATATAATAATATGTAACAATTATACTGGTGATGAACAAGAGATCAACATTGTCACTACATACACTACTGAAAAACTACATCATACATAATGACACTAAAACTAACCTTACACAACCTACTCTCCGCCTCTTAAGTACAATGCTACATAAGCACAAAGGTTTTTATAAAATAATATAATGGTGTAAACACAGAATTGCTTACACTCCTACCACCCCTCAAGTGAAAACTGTCCACTTTCACCTGGCTATACACAATATCAAACACGTTCACTTAATTGAACATAGTATAATGAACCTGTCATGGAAAACATCAGTAACACCATATATCAACAATAAACAACCCAGGCAACTTCTGACACTATATATAAGTAATGCCTAAACATACCACTACTTGATAATATTTAAGAATACCTCACTATTGTAATAATGGCACATTGTTCATTTAAAATTATACCCAAAATACATATACATATTTAGGTAGACATGTATTGTTACATGGAACAAAATCTCTACTGGTACAACTCCAGTCCATTCAAAATCCCCATCCTAACCTTTAAATATCATATGCTACAAAATCAGAGGTGTTCATGTTGCTGAAGTTAGGACAATACAGCGCACGCTTCGACCCCCCCCCCCCCCACACACACAACGGCTGTGTCCCCTGTCACCAACCTTAACAACTAATAAGAACAAGAAAATAAGAAAAGCTTATACATTGTTTCCCTAAACACACACACCTCTGCAAGACAGTTGATTTAGTCTGCCACTATTAACTTTATCCTTAATTTTTCCCACTACAAGTACAGGTCCCATAACAATATTTCCTGAAGATCAGGTTATGAACATCTCAATTTTATATTGAAAAAACTGTGTACACAAAATACGTGGTTCTCCACAACTTAACCTTGAAAATATATTTGACAATCACATACACCCCAAAAGATCAATTATATGCCTCCTACTGACCTAACAACACACACACACACACACACACACACACACACACACACACACACACACACACACATATATATATATATATATATATATATATATATATATATATATATATATATATATATATATATATATAATATATGCAAAACAACCACTCTGAAACAATAGAGAAATTCCAAGCGCTTTCGTGACTACTCACATTATCAAGGAACTATGAAAGTAAAGCATCCAAGGAAGCTATATAAGGGGTCTGGCCAATACCTCACTATCAGATCCCACAACGGTTAAACACCTGACGCGCGCCAGCCCAACTGGACAGGTCCTTTGCACAACTCACCAACAAACTATTCTACCCAAGAAAATTTAAAAATTATTATTTGTCCAGTGTATTATTAAATTCTTCCCAAATTCTGTTAATTATAAATGGATCT